GGGGGGAGGGGGAGATGTAATTCTGTAGAGGGAGTTTGTTTATATACATATACAAAATACATCAAAACATATACAATATATATCAGTTGTGAAACTAAAAAGACACTTTGTATGATTAAGGTATTTATGAAATTCTATTAATTTTTTTATGTTACATAAAAAGTTATTACTCGATATTCTCACAGGAGATTTTTCGAGAATATTCTTGAAAAATAAAATAATAAGTGATTAGTGTTTTCTGAGAAAAATAAACGGAAATATGAGTAAAAATCTGCAACGTCGCGAATTTAGACACGTGCGTGTAACTTCTAAGTATGACGTTAGCCAATGTGCATTGAACGAATCAAGAACTTTGGATCAAACCGTGTCAATGATGAGAGTTAAAACACATATGTCTCACAGAGAGATTTTCAACACAAAAGTTCGGTTAATACGGGAAGTAAAACACAATAAAATCCCAGCCTTTAGTTGACAATTTCAGGAAAAAATGCCAGCTAGTTTCCTTGAGAAACTTTGATGTAAAACGAATGATGAATACCTACGTCCCAAACGGAGGCATACATGATCCCAGTCTCTCCTTTGCTTTCTGCGCTAAATCCACCGCAAACTGTGCAAAAATCAACACAAACTTTGTTTTGCTTTTTGTTTCGCCTCCTATATTATTCAAAAGTAACACATGAACAAAAATATCGACGGTGTAAGTCGGCGATCACATAACTCGATTTGCGACGTCGCGTCGCAGACTTCCTATCATACTTAATTTTTTAAACGGAAAACAGCTCAACGGCTATTCTTTAAAACTGCAGTGATTTTTCTTTTCTATGCGAAGAATATTCTGCAGACATTTCAAGGAATGGTGTCAATTTGTTCTCCTTTAAAAAAAAGATTATAGAGACGGAGATTTTCAGACACCGCAAACGAGTTTTGTAACTGCCGACTTACACCGCGTCGATATGTTTATCAAAGTGAATATCGCGCATATTACTTCGGGATTTGTGGGGTTTGTAGGGATTCGGGTTTTGTAGGTAATGCCGCAACTGCATTGTTCGGACTAAGATATCAAAAAGATCCAACATAACTATTTCCGCCTGGTTCGCCAATCGGACATTACGACCACTCTGATCACCATACTGCCGTGCTAAGGAAAAACGCCGTATGAGCCTTCAGACGTTGCCAAGTTTCTTCCATTAGAAACCGAATTTCCTGGGAACATTGCGTATATTATTTTTTAAAGTTCCAGACAATTTTACACGCAATTTAATTTAATATATCTTAAAATTTCAAGGAAAAATATGCATGAATGTTGTCAAAAATACATGCTTTATAAAGGGAAATTTGGCAACTCTCGAATGTTCATACGGCGTTTTTCCTTACCACGGCAGCATACCTTGGCGAAACCATTCTTCGAGATGAGACCTGTCGTCCATTCAACTCCATGCTTTTCAAGACTCACGTGAAATAAAGTCACGCCCTCCGGTCCAAAGCACGGGCGACGGGCGTGGTGTCCACGCGCGGCGTAATTTCCAAGTCGTTACTTTTCATTAGGGACGAAACTCGGTGTTTGCAGAAGTAGCACTGCTGGGCCCTTTCAGCGGCTGCATGCAGGGGTGGTCCACGCCGGCTGTCATAAAAGTAAATTGAATTACAGGGAAACATTAACCCCCCGGATGCTTGAAATTCACCCCGCGTTCCCGACTGCGCGAAGGTCAGTGTGATAACGTCGCCCTCCTGACGTAAGGACGTAACGCGATTTCCACGTGAGACCTGTCCTCCGTATAGCGCTATGCTTTCCGGGGCTCATGTGGAAACATAGATACGCCCTTGCATCAGAGGATCGACGATAATTGAGACTGTTGTCAGCGAAGCTGCCAGTTCGACGCAGTCATGACTTTTGATGTGAGAGTATGAAGTGACACGCAATCCGGGAAGACTTTTTTAGGGAACCGTCTCGAAAAGAGGTCAT